CGAGACATGGTCAAGGGATGGATGAGGAAACTATGTGATTAGAATAAAAGTTTTACACATCAACAACATAGCTGAAAAGGCAGGAAGAAGCATTTATTGCGTATCTGTAATAACATATTTTAAAGTAAATTTTATCATATATTACCCCAAAATGGGAAGAAATTCCTAAACAGGTTTATAAGTTTTTTTTTTCTGTAACGTAATTTTGCTAATTCAAAAAAGGGATTGAAAAGATTTGCTTCCGACAGGAGGAAGTAATTTTAAAGGCTTTGGCTAAAGTGACATAGAATAGTTTTTAAAATCAAGAACAAAGATGGAGGAAGGGATTAAAGCCAAGGATAAGAATAAAATTGACGGTCCAGATATGACCTAAAGTCCTGAAGTAAGGCAGAATACAAGCAAGGAACCAGGAAACGGTTAGCAATAACAGAAAATCTCTCATGATACTTTCTTGGGTGATCTTATCCACCCACAACAGAATAACTGGTTTCAAAAACAAATGAACATCATTTATGACTTCTGAGAAGTTTTGAAATAATAAATGAGAAAATCTGGAAGGCTACACCTAGGATTGCAACTGTGTTCTACTCTTTCTAAGATTGGCTATGCTCTATTACCTCATCAGAAACTTAGATATGATCATGCAGCAACCCTTCATGATTAAAAAAGACAGTAGAAGCTAATTTGGCCTTGTTAGATTATTTGGTTCAGAATGGCCGATGAGTATATTTAGCTTTCAGCTGAAGATCAGTAGATGATCCTGGCCTGGCCCAGATATCCTATCATCATGATTTTGATTAAGTTTAAGGAGGTGCAGTGTGGCCACTTGATAAAATGAAATGATGCTTCTGGCAGATTATTCTTTGTCACTTTAATTTTTACATGACCATATACTGAAATGACATAATTGTTGCAAAGCAGTGTTTTAAAGTAGACATAATGTAGTAGTTGTGGTTTAATAGAAAGAATATAGACTTTGAAGCTAGTGACCTGGGTTACAATGCAGTCCTGCTACTTAAAACATGATATAGAAAGACATACAAAGAAATGCTAGGTCCCTGCCCTCATCTTCCAACCAGCAATCCTCTGCAGGAACAGTCATTGTTTAGACTCTTTTGTATGTATTCTTTTAGAAGAATCCTAGGCATATGCAAATTTCTCTTTTAGTACATAATTTATTTGATTTCAATGTATCTTGATGATCACTCCACATCAGCACATACAGATCATTGTTTTAATTAATCCCCTATTAGACATTTTACTTTTCAGTCTTTAATACCTTACTTGCAAAAGCTGTATTAAAAACTAGGTTTATTTGCTTTTATGCAAATAAATATGCCTATAATAAACCACAGATATGGAATTGGAGATTAAAGAATGTATATTTTTAAAATGTGATATTGCCAATTACCATCAAGATTGTCCTACCAACAACGTGTGAGTACATGTTTCCTTCCAATCCATTTTACACATATCGATCAGAACTATACTTAAAAGAAAATATTGGTTGCAGGACAAATCTATTAGGGAGAGTCTAGTGACATGGTAGATTCAAAAATCATCTATCAATCACCAAGTCTACCGAAGATTCCTTGAGTTTATTTCTGGGCTTTGTTCTATTCTTTAGTTCAATTTGTCTACCCCTATGCCTTTGCTTTTTACATATTTGCTCTATAAATGGCAATAAATATTTATTTCAAAAGTATTAATGAATTCCAAGTAAAAATAAATCTCCTCTTTTGACCATTACTTATAAAATTGAGAACAATTACCTGAGAAAAAGCCAATAGAAGTTAGATGTAAAACATACATGAATATAATTAATCTGTACAATGTACATAAAATGCCTTTACAGATATAAAATATAGTGAATTAGAGATATAATAGCAGATTTTAATTAAATACTACAAAATCAAAATTATCCTTGCCTTTTATTGGTTTACTTTACATTTACATAGACTTAAGAAGTACTAACTAAATGGGCATGGTGGCTCACATCTATAATATTAGATACTAGGGAGACAGAGACAGAGAGACTCAGGGTTTGAGACCAGCCTGGGAAAACAGTTAGCAAGACCCCATCTCAATCAATAAAAAGCCGGGTGTGGTGGCACATGCTTGTCATTCCAGCTATGTAAGCATAAACAGGAGAATAACAATCCAGGTCAGCCCAGGCATAAAACTGAGACCTTATTCAAAAAAATAACTAAAAGCAAAACAAAACAAAACAAAAAAAAGGGCTGGTGGTGTGGCTCAAGTGGTAGAGCACCTGCCTAGCAAGACCCAGAGTTCAATCACCAGTACTGTCAAAACAAAACAACAACAAAAACCTTTCAGCTGACCTTCATAGTAGCCCTGTCAGAGAGATACCATTAAGAACTGAGATAAAGTAACTTGTCTGAAGTCACAGAAACCTTCATGTTCCCAGATGTTTTATACAAGGAAAGATATTTTTCCTTTACTCTTCTTTTTCTTTTCCCTACTCTGGATTAAGAGTTTAGATATAACCAAGTAAAAAGCTACTACTTATTCAAAATTTCCCTTATTTGAGGGTCAAACTTAAATTTTACTTTATCCACAAGGACCATTTCAGTTCCACAATCAAAAATAATGTTTATAAGAATATAAACATTATTTTTTTTATTACAGAGGACAATTTTATGTCTTTCATGTGTTAGTCTTCCATTTTTTTTGGCAGTACTGGGGTTTGAACTTGGGGCCCAAGTGCGTACTGCTTGAGCCACAAGCCCTTTAGTCTTGCCTCTCTGTCAAGGACATAAGCTCAAGTATAGAATTAAACTTTTGGATCCTATAATCCCAAGCTGATCAGACTTAACAAATACACCAGTGTAAAAATACTGAGTACCAAATATATTCCAGTCTCACTAGGCAAGGAAATTATAAAGCTAAATTTCCACAGGAATTAACAATAATTTTGAAATAACTGGAAAGTCATAGGCAAGAAAATGTTACCCAATAGATATATTTAGGAACATCAATGGTCCAGACAACAGTGGAAAATCTCATTCCACTAAAAGCAGTGAACCTAATAAATTTTACAAATAATCTGTTGATATTTTCTTAGAGGGCAGAGTGTTAAACCCAATTTCAACCTAACAGAAACTCCTCTGGTAGAGTGGAAAAGATGGGAACTGTGGAAGGAGGCAATCATGGCATCTCAGCATGGGTGATACTAAGGAAAGGAGTCCTGAGAAAAGATATTTAAAAGAGGAAAATGATTCAAGAAAGCTCCTTGCTCACAAGTAAAATTATGACATTCAATCATAATTGCCATGAAATCAAATCCAAAGGAGCTAATGGCTATGTTGGAGGTTTGGAAGTGACACAATAAATGAACCAAGCAATTAACTAGGCCTGGGGAGTATGAAGCATTAACAAGGGTGACATTTGAGCTGGGTCTTGAGAGGGAATAAGTGTTAGGTGAGAATCATTAGATAATTTAGAAATCTTTTAAAAAACTGTACCTTTTTATTACACTGCTTTTTGTTACATTTTATTGTGTTAAAGGTGAGCAATTAGAAAGTCTTTTCCTGAAAAGGAAGATTATCCCATATATTGACTAAGAAGTTGTACCTACTGAGAAAATTCCATATCCAAGGAGAAAATGTGCTTCCGGTTTTTTTGGTTTTTTTTTGTGGGCGTTGGGAGGGTTGAACTCAGGGACTTGTGCTTGCTAGACAGGTGCTCTACCATTTAAGCCACACCCCCAGCCCTTTTTTGCTTTAGTTATTGTTCAGGTAAGGTAGCTGTAATTACCGATGTCATCCCTCAAGCCCAGCTTATTTGTTGAGATGGGAGATATCCCTAACTTTTTACCAGGACTGGCCTGGAACCCAGATCCTCTGGACACCACGCCTCCCAAGAAGCCAGGACCACTCTGTGACCCACTGAGTCAGACCAGGGCTTATCTTGAAAACCCACTTTTGGCAGGTCCACTACATCTACATTTGACAAGTCATTCAAAAGTATAGAGATTAAAAAAAAAAAAAACAAACTAATCAGGCTACAGTTTTAAAATTGAGTATTAGCATTTGTTAGTAAATTTCAGTTGGCCTCATGTAACACTCTAAAAGGTCACATAGTGTCAGTGTGGGAAAAATCTAAGATGTTTCTCCAAAGGAGGATACTGGAAGTTCTGTAGTATGTTCTAGATAGGAAGAAATTTTCAAGCTGTAAGAAATGCTGATCAATGAATGAGGTAAACGATTCCTCAGCTGCTAAAAGTGATTGTAACAAGGTAAAAAAAGCAAATTTCTATCTTATGCATGGTAGTAGGATGGTGGGATAGAGTGTAGGTAGAAGCTGCTTGCCCTGCTCTTCGGTTTTCCTGGAATTTTGAGCACTACTGAAATTAAGCCATTGAAACTGAATTATGTTTAATTACTTGAACAGAACAAAATTATACAGCAAAAATCCATTTCCCCTTTTTATTAGCATATATTAATTGTACAAAAGAATACAGAACCATTGAGTAAGAACGTGTCTCAAAGACAACAAACAGGTCTTAAGTGCATTCGACTCAGGAGAGAACTGCAACATTTCCAATTCTTTTCTTTCTTGACTTTGAATCAAAGGCATTACTGTGGGCAATCTGAGAAACACCACTTCCCGGTAGTGAGATTCAGGAGACTGGGGGTGGCGGGGGTGTGGACTCTTAGAGCAATAAGCCGGTTTACAAGGGAGCCTTCTGGAGTCTCCTAACAGCCGGTAAACTGGAAACTGGACGTTTTATAAGTACCCACACAAACAGGAGAGCCAGGAGCAGGTGTACCAGCAGCCAAAGATCGACAAAGACAACAGTTACGGCCGATCCCTTTGCTTCCAGCACGAAAGTGAACCCCCCATCCAGCCCAACGCTCTCTGTCCCCCTAAAACGTTCCTGCTCTCAGTTCCTACCCAGAAACACTCCCTTCCCTTCCCCATAGTAACTTCGCACATCCCCGACAACCCCGCGGGCGTGGCAGGCAGCGTGTACTCACTGAGCTGTCCCCCGCCCGACGTGGTACTCGGTTCCCGACCTCCAGCGCCTCCCACGCCGGCTGCTCCGGGGACCCCCGGCGCCCCCATCCCCGGTGGGGTCCCACTCTGCCTCTCAAAGTTGCCAGGGTTGGAGAAGTAGTCGCGCAGCCGAGGCAGCTCGCGGCCGCTCTCTAACAGCTCAGTGTGCAGCTCCAGGGCAGTCAGCAAGTATTGATCGCGCAATAGTTGAGCAGCGATCGCATCAATTGACAGTCGGGCTGGGGTCTCCCCGGAGCCCCCCAGGGCCACCGATGCCTCCCCAGGGAGCCCTGGCCGCGTACTGCTCCCTAAGGCCACAGGGTCCTGTGGCGATAGCGAGCCCGCAGAGCCAGGATCTAGGCCAACTCCAGCACCCAGTCGAAGTCCTGCGCGCCGCTCCTCGGTGGCCGCAACCTCGTCGTCTTCCTCCTCCGAATCGCTGAGGAATGGATTCACGCCGCCGCCACCACTACCTCCAGGCGCCATCGCCGCCATCTTATCCTGTCAGGAGTGTGGGCGACTCCCAGACTGGCTCCGACAGGCCAGAGCCTCAATGCCCGGTGAGTCTCAGTACGCACTGAGCACCTACACAGTCCTGGGCACAACAAGTCCCGCCTCCCTACTTAAAGACCAGGCCTAGACTCAGAGGCAGGAGGTCCGGATGCGGCAGCACCCAGTGCTCCAGCCGCCGCTGCACCAGCAGCCGGCTCTGCAGGCGTCTTCCTGGTCTCCAGTCTCGCGAGAACTGGCGCGTGTCGTGCCCTCTCCCTCCCCTCCTCAATCCCGCCCCAGCACGCCTCAGCCCCGCCCAATCTCAGAGCCCGAGCTCACAGATGGAAGGACCCGCTCCCGGCTGGAAAGCAAAACCCCGCCCACACTGCCTCTTGATTGGCTGGAATTACGGGGCACTGGCCTGATGTTATCGCGAGAGTAGCTGCGGCCGGGGAAGTGTTGGGGTGTTTTGTGATTGAGGCGCGGATGTGGAGGTGGTTTAGGGATACCCTGTTGGCTGCCGTTTGAGGTGGCAGAGGGGAATCCTTTCGAGAGCATTAATGGCCCTGGGTCCTGCCTTCGCGCGGAGGAGGCCTCGTTCCCGAGATCAGGCCTGACCGGGATAAGCCCCAGGTAAAGTTCAAGGACCATGGCACTGAGGTTCAGCGACACCGAAATGGTGGTCTCGCGGCCGCGGCCACGCTGCCCCCTTAATGCGCTTCACCTTTTGCTGCTGCGTGCTCTCCGTGACGTTTTCGCTGCACCGATGGCAGACGCCCGGGACAGTTGTCAGAATTAGGCTTCCTTTCCCGGCCATGTGCTGAGGTGACAGCCTCGGAGGCCTGGCGACAGCCCCGACTGCTTTCGGTTCTAGGGAGGGCGCCTCCTCGCCTAGGAGTTAGTCCTAGAAAGGACGGAGAAGGCAGCGCTCAGGTTTGGTTTGCCAGGGATCTGTGAACAGTCTCGACTGGACAACAAGCTGTTAAGTGCTCAGTAAACACCTAGGATCTTCATACAAGAATTTCACAACAAGGACTTTTCAAAATAGCGAACCCAGTCGACTTCACCAAAGGAACTAACATCAGTTGTCCCAAGTCCACGGCCATTCTTACCCACGTTGCACTGCGCCCTTTCCGACTCTTCATTTAGGGAGGATCGAGGTTTGGGTTGTGGAACTTAATAATTTTAAAAGTTGGGTGCCCTAGGAGCTTTTGATTCTCCTTATGAAGCGTTAGCACCTGAAGGAACGTACTCCTAAATTTGGACGATCAACGTTGATCTTTTAAATTATTCCTTGTTACAGTCGGAGGTAGTAAAATAAGTTTTTCCCATCAACAGAATTGGATTGCAATTCCTGATGGCTTCTATTTTCTCACACAAAAATCGTCCCTTTTGCAGATTTTAGATTTTTTTCCTGCTGTTCAGGAAAAGTATTGCACCAAAGTAAATGGGCAATAGTAATTATGACTATTGGGAAAGTTACATGTTACCTTGGAGCAATAAAGTATCTCCTTTACCTTTGTGGAAAAATAAAAATAGAGATTCTTACATAACAGGTTATTGGTTTACATGTAAACCTATTGCCAACAGTTAAGTTGTAGCCTTTAATTTCAGTTTAAGCAGGTTCAGTAAAATAAAATTGTCATTCGAATGAGGCATTGTGAGGGCTTTTTGTTAGGTTTTTGCTAGAAACTTTTACAAAATAGTGTTAATACTAAGAATGTAAAGTGTTTTTTGTAGGATATTAGCTCCTAATGCTCTATGCTAAATATTCTTCTGTGCCATTTATTGAAGAAAAATATGGAAAAAATAACCCTCTGATATTAGGAAAATACCAAAATAGCTAAGAGATTGTCTATCTTTATTTTAACTGAGTTTGACAAAGAGATTAAAAGTTGAACCAACTTCTAGAGTGGAGTGATAAATGAACGACAGGATTAGAAATGGTTTGTTTATACAGTGTTTCCATCTCTGTAATGAGAAATTTTAGAAATCTCCTACATTTCAGATTCCTGAAGAGAACTTTGCTTATCAGAAGAGCCTGAGTTCAAACTCAGCTGTACACATTATTTATTATGAGTTTTTAAAAAAGTTCAAATACAAATTCTGTCAACCTCATTTGCATTCTTCTGTCAGTGGGGATCATGAAAGTACATAGAACTGTGACTTCTCTTGTCATATTGCCTGGTATCTGGGAGGCAAAAAATGTTAATGATTAGTTAATGAAATATTAATAGAGATGAGGACATTTGGCAGGTTTTAAAAAAGTAAGTATCAATTGATTTAGCAGATAAAATCTGAAAAAACAAGTCAGTAATGCTAAAGACAGGAATACCTTTAATTTAGGATCTGAGTTCTAAAGCACAAGTTGAAAGTAGACTTCAAACATTTTCTCAGAAGTTGTAAGAAACTGAATATAGAAATTCTTCCATGATTGGCTTCCTATAGAAATCTGTAATTTACTACTTATAATTCCTGTTTGGTAACCATGGACCTTGGAAGCCCATAACAAATCAACTGAACAGTCTTCCCAATAGGTACTCCCCAGCATACATAGAGTTTTTGTTACTGATTAAAAATGTATGAGTAGCACATGCTAGAATATTAATGATTTCTGATCTCTGCTTATCAAAATTTATTATTATGTTGGGAAATTTCCTTTCTAATTAGTTACATTAATCTAGGTCTTTAATAACTACTGTTTCATCTAAATGATAGTCATTGAAGTTTGTATCTTAGCAAGGAAACTGTAAAAGCTTTTTTCTAAGCACTTCAGTCATTTTAGTGTTAAAAATTATTTTTCAGCTTAACCACAAGTAGCATAAATGCAGGGTTTTGGTTGATTTAAGGTCTTAGTAATATCTAATGTCTCATTGCTTCTCAGTGTATGGTAAACATCCCATGGATAACTTTTATTAGCACATGTATATGCATTTTTCAAATTTTAAGAGTTGTGCATTTTTTAGAGGTTTCCAAACAATTCAACCATGGCCAACAAAGTTTTCTAATAAATCTGAGTGAAATGTGATTCTCTTTAAAGAGAAATATATAATAATATTGCTTAATATGAATGGTGTGCTTGATAATAATAAAATAAGTAATATGTGAATGTTGATTTTTTAAAATCACTGCAATTTTATGTATAAGTAAATTACTTAAGCATAAAACTGGGGGTTAATCTTCACAGGTCTTGTCCAGGAGACCCCCAAAAAAGAATTAAGGCGACCTCTAGTGACTACAGAGCATATTGCCTTTGAAATGATAATCTTAAATAATTCTTTCAGTAATCATTTGAGTCCCTCCTGAGTGCATAGGACTGTGATGGATGCTAGTGATGCCCTATCCCGCTCTCATGGAATTACAATGCGGGGGAAGAGACATATATTAATTCCAGTAGTCAAAGTCATAGTTATGTAACTACAAAAACTACTACTGTGCCTATGTGGCAAGAGTGAGAGTGTCCAGGGACACTCAGGTAAGAGATGACATACATGGTGGATTATAGGGGTGACAGTGGAGAGTAAGATAAGTAAGTAGATTCAAGAAGCAAAGTGGACTTGATTATTGGATTAAATATGGGAAAAGAATATGGTGTGACAAAAATGACATCTAATTCTCTGACTTTATACTTGGGTGAAAGGTGGTGCCATCTCCTTAGATTATGAAACTAAGGATGTTATTAAATATGCCAGGATAGAAAGAATAGAAGAAAAGAAGATGGCTTAGGACCAAATTTTGAATAATGCCAATATTCAATAACTAGAGTGAGAGTGTTCTATACTGGTTAAGGAAGTAGGTAGAAAATCAAAGGAGTAAGTGACAAATGCCTGTATAAAAAAACAAACTGATCCCAACACACACACGCGCACACACACACACACAAAAGAACAAAATTACTTTGGTAGAAACTTAAAAAATAGCTGTTAGATTTCCCACTATTTGTTAATGGCCGCTTTCTGTCTAAAGCAATATAAACAAGAGTAAATTTAAGTTGTTTAATTGGTTGGTCAGGAATAAAAAAGATCACATTCAGTCTTTTTAAGAAATTCAGCTGTGTTGGTGAGGAAAGGTCAGTATTATTTTTTTCCCACCAATCCTTATGTTTGTGAGACATGGCTTAATTAGTTTTCAATGCCATATAGTATTTTATTATGAGTAAGTAATTTATCAGTTTCCTCATTATTAGATTTTGTTTCTGATTTTTATTTTTACACATAGCAAAAGCCAACATTTGAATTTAAAGTTTTTCTTGTACTCAAGTTTGTTCCTCTTACTCTTTCTCTCCTCCCCCTCTTCCCCTTCTCTCACTCTCCCCTTCCTCCCTTTCCCATTGGCCTTGACCTTGTAGTCCTGCCTCAGTCTCCCGAGTCCTGGAATTACAGGTATGTGTTACAGTCCTGCCTGTGTTTATTTCTGATATGGTGTTTCTTTTAGTAAGTTCTAAAGTGGTAGCTATTCTGATACTTGTATGTAGGTTAAAAACAAATAGATAATTTGATCACTATCTTATACCATATGTAGGTAAATTCTAAATAGTGAAAAGTGAGAATCAAAAATCTAAAACTATGAAAAGAATATATGGGGTTTAAGAACAAGAGAAGCTTTCTTATTCAGAAGACAAAAAAAATCCAGAAAATTTTTGATTAATTTTACTGTATCAGTTTAAAATTTAATCTTAACGAAAAGCACTACATAGCTAACTGTATTAGTGTATAACTAATAGTTAAGTGTACAAGTTGTGTGTAAGTTACACACAGCTAGTCCCATGTAACTAATTATACAACTCATCATGTTTAACTAGTTTGTGTATGACTAGTTGTGCATAACTAGTTGAAGAACTAGTCGTGTATGTATAACCAGTTACATAACTAGTCATGACTAACTAGTTGCATGTTATTCATAGCTAGTTTTGCAACTAGTCATGTATAATTTGTCTTGCATACATGTTATGCTTGTGGTTCTCAATATCTGCACTTTCTATGTCTGGATCCAACCAACTACTGATTAAAAATATCTGAGGGAAAAGTTGGACTGCATGTGTACATGTGCATCTTGTTATCGTTCCCTAAGTAGTACACTATAAGCGCCATTTACACAACACGTACATGTCAGTAGGTGTTGTAAGTAATGTGGAGATGATTTGAAGTACGAGGAAGGATAAGCATAGCTTATGTAAGTACTGCACCAATTCTTGTGAGGGTCGTGAGCATCTGAGGATTTAGGCATCCTTGGGGGCTGGGAAATGTGTTTTAGTCTTAGAACCAGTACCTCACAGATAACAAGGGATGACTCTAGTCTTTATGGTTAGGGCTGTGGAATGGAGACTAACTGGACAGGCACATAGAGGATCTTCCTGGAGTGAACAAAAATGTTCTGTATCTTGATTCTAATGGTGGTTACATGAATGTATGTATTCTTCAGAAGTTGTGAGACTTAAAATGTCTCCATTTTATATATAAATTGTACTTTAATAATATTGATAGAAAAAAAATTTAAAATAGATTTCATTCATTTGAATGTATCAGGAAAAACTTTAGTTAAGACTGTTGACCCTAATTAGAATAATTAACGGTTCTTTAGATAGAATTAGATAGAATATACTCTGACAGAGAGCCCTTACACTCAGGAAGAACAAACACACACATTTAGTTGTTGATCTCTCTAGGTCATTCTTGTAGTTACAACCTCCTCGTGTCACAACTGTCTACATTAGATTTTTTGAGCTTAATCTTAATATGTCAAAAAGAAACTGCTCAAAACCTTCTCCATTACTTCTGTGTCTTCTCTTAAGTTATAGACCACCCAGATCCTCAAACTAGAAATCTGGAAGTCATTCTTTCCTCTCTAAACACATTCTTTCATGGAAGCCCTGTCATCTCCCTCCAAAATATAACTTGATTAACCACTTCCTTTTTTCTCAACTTTCACTGCACCAGTTTAGGCTAATTAGTGATGACCTCTTTATTGGTATACCTTAAGGGTATGTAGTCCCTAAGTCATCTCTCTCTTTCTCTCTCTCTCTCTCTTTTTTTACGGTGCTGGAATTTGAACTCAGGAACTCAGGACCTACATCTTGAGCCACTCCACCAGCCTTTTTTGTTATGGGTTTTTTCAAGATGGGGTCTTGTGAACTTATTGCCCAGGATGGCTTCCAGCCATGATCTTCCTGATATCTGCCTCCTTAGTAGCTAGGATTACAGGCGTGAGCCACGAGTACCCAGCTTATCCCTGATTCATCTCTTTATCTACTGCAATTTACTCTCCACATCCAGCCAGTTATACACATATATATGTGTATATTATGTGTATTGTCCATATTATATTGTTACTATATTATATATTATGGTATAAAATGTATCTGTGGCAGAGATGGTGCTAACCAAACATTTCCTCTGTGCCTCCATATTTTCCAGCCTAGTTTAGTTAACCAGAGCAACATGACTACTTCTGGCCAGATTATTTATTATTTATTTATTTACCACCAAGTGGTGGTACTGGGGCTTGAACTAAAAGACATCACGCTTTGCAGGCAGGCCCTGTACCACTTGGGCCACACCCCTGTCCTTTTTGCTTTAGTTTTTTTTTAATCGGGTCTCATCTTTATGCCTGGGCCAGTATGGACCAAGATCCCCTATTTCTCCTTCCTATGTAGCTAGATGACCAGTGCTTACCACTACACTCAGCTTTTGTTGGTTTAGATGGGGTCTCATGAACATTTTGCCCAGGTGGGCCTGGAACCGAGATCATCCTATTCTCTGCCTCCCAAGTAAGCTAGGATTTCAGATGTAAGCCATCATGCCCAGTTTCGTTTATTTATTTAATAGGTGGTACTGGGGTTTGAATTCAGGGTCTCTCTTGTGCTTGCTAGGCAAGTGTTCTAAGATTTGAGCCATGCCCCTAGCCTTAACCAAATGTTTGTTTTAAAACAAAACTGAGGTATACCTGTGTTCATAGAAACCTCACTCATAATCACCAAAAGATGAAAGTCTATCAGTGGGTGAACAAAAACATATATATATGTTAACCTTCAATCTTAAGAAGGAAAGAAAGAGATTCTGACACTTGCTACAGTATGGATGAATGCTGAGGACATTATGCTAAGTGAAATAAGCCAGTTACAAAACAAAAATAATGTATAACTCCACTTACATGAAGTCTCAAGAATAATCGAACTCATGGAAATGAAAAGGATACCAGTGGTTGCCAGAAACTGGAGGGAGGAAGGACTTCGGAGATTTTGTTTCATAGATACTGGATTTCAGTTTTGCAAGATGAAAAACATTCTGAACCTTGTTTGCACAACAATAAGAGTATCCTTAATACTACTGAACTGTACACTGTAAAATGTTTAAAATGGTAAAAATTATGTGAATCTTTTAACAGTTTTTTAAACTAAAAGAACAAAAGTCTAGTGTGCCAGAACTTCTTGTCTTTGGCAAAGTAACACAAATAGTAACCTTACAGAGACCTACAACTTTGAGCATATAGATGTATTTGTTCCTTAAAATGTAGGTCTTGACTGGATGCAGTGGCTCAAGCCTGTAATCCTGGCTACTTGGGAGATTTGGAGATTCAAGGCCAGCTGGAGTAAAAAGTTCACAAGACCTCATCTCAACCAATGACTAGGTATGGTGGTGCATGCTTGTCATCCCAGCTGCAGTGGGAAGTGCAGATAGGAGGACTGTAGTTCAGACTGACCTGAGCATAAAGTGAGATCCTACCTGAAAATAACCAGACCATGATCTTCCTACCTATGCTTCTCACATAGCCAGGATTACACATGTGAGCCATCATATGTAGTTTACTTCTTGAGATGGGTGTCTCCCTAACTTTATCCCTAGGCTGTCCTTGAACTGCAGTCCTCCCAGTCTCTGCATCCTGAGTGGCTGGGATTACAGATGTGAGCCACCACACCTGGCCCCAAAATGCTCTTGAAACAAAATTGTTTAAAAATAAAAACTTCAGTGTATTACAATGACAACTAATCCATGTTTCTTCATGGAGCAGAACACCATGCAAGTGTTAGCTTTGAAACAATGTAATCAAGGGTATCTATGACAGAAAAATACAACTGGACAGAGAGGTAGCACTAGTCCTTTTTCCATTGGGGCCTGTGTGTAGTCACTAAAAGTGGAGAAGGTATCTTATGTCTAAAGAATATCTGCTACAGTAACCAAAGCAAAGTAGCCAGTGGTGAAAGCTGTAGCTACACATCCACTAGCTAGCAGGCAGCAAACAAAAGTGGACATAAATTATGACTGATATACTTAAAACATTAACATCAAAGTTCAGATCTTTCAGATTTGGAGAAACTATTACTTATACATTTCTAATGGGAATATATGAATCTTTAAAACAGTTGTTGAACTTGTAATTCTGCATTATGCATTGTTTGAAGGAAATAACAAATATATTCAACTCACATTCTGTGGAGAATTTGCATTTAATGTTCATTAGATTGTTTTTCTAGTGAGAATATATATTTAAAAAATCCTGAAGACAGCAATCGTAATTCTCAACTGCATCAAGAATGAAGGTTGGGGGCTAGAGGTATAGCTCAGTGGTAGAGCATGTACTTAGCACTTAACAGAGCCTCAGCTCAAAACTCACCATACACACACAAACACACACAAAGAATGGAAGGTTGATCTGTAGTAGAACAGAAAAGGGAAAGGAATGTGATATATGCAGGAAAAATCCTTTTGTCAGTTAGGTATGGGTAAAATTTAGTTTTTCCTTGCTGTTAAAAAATTGTCCTTTATTTTTTCATACAATACTCTTAGGAAGCATATGATGAAATATAATGTGTAGCCCATGTTGCCAGTAGAAAGAAATTACATAGTGTAATACATAGTGGATCAGTGTATCTATTGAAAAAATTGTAAGTACTTTCTTTTCCCTAAAAATTTCCTATCAAGAACAATAGTGCTTATTAGAAATATCATCCAGGATGTCTTTTAAGAATCTTATACAATGTTCTATGTTTCAGTGTACACAATGTGGCAATTTTAACATGTCTAACTAAGGTATTGGTCCATTTAAAAAATTACTTTATCAAATATGCCTTTATTCTAACAGAGCTTAGTCAAATCAGATTTTACCCAGATATTTATTCTTCTCATTGGAAATACTTAACAGAAAAATTTTGCTCTATTTTTTTTAAACCTAGGAGAGCTTTTTTCCTTATTAAAACAGTTTTACTTGATACTTCTTTTCCTTTATACTTTTAAGATTTTATGCTTACACTGAGGGTTTCCCGTAGTGTTGCCCAAGGAGGCCTAGGCTGTCCTGTTGTGAGCATGCCTGGCTCCTCTGCCAACTAGTCACTAAACGGATAATGCAAAGAGTAAGGCTTAAATATAACTTAAAATGTTTAAAAGCAGCATCGAAAGCTAAAATACATTTTTGATAAGGCCTATGAAGGTAGTTTAAATTTTCTTAGTGAAAGAATTGCAACTAGGTTGAATAAATTAATAAAGATAGCTGGGTACCAGTGGCTTATACCTGTAATCCTAGCTACGTAGGAACCAGAGATCAGGAGGATCACAGTTCAAGGTCAGCCAGGGCAAATAGTTCACAAGACCCTATCTCAAAAATATCCAATACAAAAAACGGCTGGCAGAGTGGTTCAGGAGGTAGAATGCTTGCCTAGCAAGCATGAATTCAAACCTCAGTACTACCATTTCAAACCCCATTACTACCATAAAAATTAACAAAGATATTAAAAGTAATTTCTCAATTTGAAATCTTGTCATTTAGAATGTTATAACCAATGTTTCCTTTTTTATTCATCAAAACAGTTTGAAGTGACAGCTTTTTTCTTGGGGGGATCTTGCAAGGTAAGCAAAGAAAAGAAATATTTATTTCTGAGTTGCTGAATTATTTTTATCATTAGGAGAATCAATATTCATTATTCAGCTGAAAAAATTTTTTCCATATTCAATACATGAAAAGCATTAAAGATGCCCATAGCTTTTGACTCAGTGATTGCATTTATTGGTAGTATCTTAAAATATAATATGAAATATCTAAAAAGTTAACATATAAAAATTACATATAGATTTTAATTAATCACATTGACACTTTTAATAGTAAAAAAACAATTTAATGCTTACCAATTTGGGGTTCATTAAGAAAAGTAAAATGCCTTTGTTGTTTAAAATATGAATGGTAAGAAGTGCATAGGAAATGTTTTTAAAATTGTTTTTGAAGAGAAATGCTAATGTCTGCTAAAGGAAAAAAGTTAATAGATAAAATTGTGTACCCCTGAAAAATATAGATAGGTTAAAAATTGAAAAAACTATTTAGATTTTTGCAGGTAGTGGAATCACGTGTAATTTTCTATATTTTCTAAACTTCCCACTTTGATTTTAGGTTAACATTCAATACAGCATTATTAAGATAGTGCTTACTGTGCAGTGGACGTCCATGTTTACTAGAAAATAAGTAACCATTTACACTGAGAGCATGGCCTTAAATTGCAAAATGGCAACTACTCACTAAGAAATTTTTATATTTGCAGAGTATCTTTGTCTTTGTTTGTCTTGTTTCTCTTAGAAAAAAAATAGTGGCCAGGCCCCCATGGCTCATTCCTATAATCCTAGCTACTTTGTGCAACCTATCTCAAAATACCCAATGCTAAAAATACCTGACAGAGTGGCTCAAGTGGTGGAGCCTCTGCCTAGCAACGGTTCAAACCCTGTACCACCAAAAAGAGAAAAAGAAAAAGTGGCTCATGTGCTCTACCATATTTTTTTGTTTAGATTTTTTTTTTTTTGTATTTGCCTTTGATAAGAATTTTTCCAATTTTTTTTTTTTCATTTTTGCAGGATATTTTGTCACCCTTCCATTCCATGACGAAATGATTCTTCAGGCTTAGAAAGAGTAAGATGTGTCTGTAATTCAGATTACTTCATCTTTGGTGTTTTTCAGCCCAGGATCATTCATTCTATGTAACCAATACTGCTACAAGTAAGACAAGTTCCAGTATTTTTTCTTTCTTCTTGATCTGCAGAGATTTACCAATAATTATAGCGTGGTTTGAAAAATCTTTTTACAGAAATTCGGTCTTGGCAGTTTAATACCATACTGTCTTACATTATTATTTAAAGGTCTCACTTTGTTTTGTTTTCTTTCTTTAGTATCTGTAGGCTTATCAGATCTGTGCTTATGTCTTCTTGGTGTTCTCTGGTACAGACACAGTTTTGCAGGCACTATGTGCACAGAACATTTTTATTGAATGAATAAATTCATTCAATAAAATAA